CTTGGAGGTCATCTAGTCCAACCCCCTGCTCAGGCAGGAAACCCTATACCATTTCAGACAAATGGCTGTCCAGTCTCTTCTTAAAAACTTCCAGTGTTGGAGCATTCACCACTTCTGGAGGCAGGTTGTTCCATTGGTTAATTGTTCTAACCAGTGGAACAACCTGCCTCCAGAAGCGGTGAATGCTCCAACACATTTTCAATCTCAGTATGTTCCTGGCTAAGGCTAAGTGAGAATATAAGTTCTCAGTTAGGTACCCCTATTAATGGAATAAATAAATAAATATGAATAGAATAGAGCTGGAAGGGGCCTTGGAGGTCTTCTAGTCCAGCCCCCTGCTCAAGCAGGAGAACCTATACCATTTCAGACAAGTGGCTGTCCAGTCTCTTCTTAAAAACCTTGAGTGATGAAGCACCCACAATGTCTGAAGGCAAGCTGTTCCACTGGTTAATTGTCCTCACTGTTAGGAAATTTCTCCTTAATTCCAGGTTGCTTCTCTCTTTGATCAGTTTCCAACCATTGTTATTATCCCTGCCCTCTGGTGCTTTGGAGAATAATTTAACCCCCTCTTCTTTGTGGCAGCCCCTCAAATACTGGAATACTGCTGCCATGTCACCCTTATTTCTTCTTTTCTCTAGACTAGCCAAACCCAAATCCTGCAACCATATGTTTTAGTCTCCAGGCCTTTGATCATCTTAGTTGCTCTTCTCTGAACTTTTTCCAAAGTCTCAACATTTTTTTTTTGTAGTATGGTGACCAAAATTGGTTGCAGTATTCCAGTTGTGGTCTTACTAGGGTTTTATAAAGCGGTACTAATATTACGTGTGATCTTGATTCTGTTCCTCTGTTTATACAACCCAATGCTTGCTAAGGAGATATAGTTCATTACAATTCCAACATATTTTGGGGTAATGTTTACTCACTGGGGAAAATATTGATTTCACAAAAAAGGGATAAAACTTTAAGAGTCTATTGCTTTAAGACAGTTACTGGAGGACTTGGCTTGAAATCAGTCAGTCAATCAGTAGCTACCATGTATACATGTGGTATAACTTGGTAGATGTGGTATACGTGGTAGAATGACATCTTCATTCACATATACAAAATCATTTAATAGGACTATGGCATAGCTAATTAACCCTGAGGATGTTAGTTTAACCATACATTTTTTTGGGCCAGGGGGATGGGAGTGTAAATGGACTCCCTACAGTCAACCACCTTTTCCTTGCCCATTGTGTCCAAAACTGAGACTAACATCTCTGTGGACATTTTGTTTTTCGCCCTTATCACCAGTCACACAGGGAAAAAAAACTGAACAATGATTGATACACACCCTCATCATGCAAGCGTGCATTTGATTTGAGGGAGCTCATGAATGGGATTGGAAATATCAGTCTCTCAGCATCTTTCGTGTTTTCTGGGAGCTCAGAAAAATTGACAACTCGATTACTGATCAAATCATCCAAAGATAGTCTATTGATCTGCAACACTTCCCAAAGTATTTATATAGAGAGATTTTACTCATTTGCCTAAACTGCAAGGAGGAAAGAACAGGGTGATCCACCAACAAGGAAGTAAAAAAATATAAAAATGCTGACTCTAATTATGCAGTTGAAGCTCTGCTCCTTTTCTGTCATGGCCCCTGCAAAAAGGGACACAGCTTTAATTCTGTCTAATTCTTGACAGAATGTTTTAAATACTAAAAAGACTAAGTAACTTATTTTCTCAAGCCAACTCCATTGTTATTTCTCTTTTCAATGTATTTATCCCTTTAAAGAATTTATGTTCCTGATTCCAACTTCTTGTAAGGTAGATAAATAATCCAGGCAGGGAGATGCAAATATGGATGGAATTGTAATGACTTCCACTGGATTCAATGGGAAATGGATCTAAGTGTTTGGGGAGATGCATTAAAGCTATTTTATCAAAGGACTCTGAATAACATAGCCTTCCCTCCTTTCGTATATTCTTGCCTCAACAAATTTTGAACGAGAGGATCACAGCACAATTCCAATCATGGACTGATTAGTTTCCATTCTATTCCTTAGAAAATTGTTGTGACATCACGGAATGGGCCCTTTTGAAACATCACCACATGTTTCTCAGCTCACGATGGGTGAAGCCATGAGAAGAGCCAATCCATACTTCCCTAACTGGAAAGAAAAAAAGAAAATCAAGCAGTCACCTGCAAGAATCCACTGGGGTCATTCTCTTTGATGACCTCCAGACAGTATTCCATCAGCCCTGTGGTCTGGCGCAGCTTTACTGTGCAGTGAGAGATCTGATCACGTACCACCTGCAATAAAATACAGAAATGATAAAAGTGCATAGACCGGGTAGAGATGCTTTGGCAGATAAGAGCTATGGTTGGAGAATTTGGGGAGAGTGTTCTGGCCAGAAATGCAATGGATCACTTATTCCTCGTTGCCCCTGAGCTGATTTTGCTGGGTCCCTCAAAGTCTGAGAAACCTTAAGGGCTTGGAATTCTAATTCTGGCAAACACCAGGCTATCTGCTTAATTCTAGCCCTACACAAAACCACAACCTCTTCCTCAAGCCATAATATTTGCTAATGTGCTTGGAGGCAACAGTGTGCAATCCTGATGGAATCTGACAGGAGCCTGCTGGCATTCAGAGTATGGGGGTTAACCATCCTGTTGTCAGTGACTCTGTTTTAACAATTGCTTCTCTCATAAACAGAGGAACAAATAAATTGGCTGCATTCTTACTAAGCCATAACAGTGTTTATATGGCTTTGGTTTAACATATGGGGTGAATCTGGCCAATGATAATTTCATCAAAAATGGTTAAATAAATCATAGCTCGGAAAATCTCTCTTTGGAGCGGGAAAGGGCCCTGACATTTCTTCAACCACACTTTCTAGTTTTAGCATTGTCAAAACAAATTTCCAAAGTTGAGACCCTCCAGAGGCCTAGTCAGCAGCTCCAGCCCTGCCTCTATTCCACTGGGCACCACTAATAGAACTGGTATCAGTTATATTTCCTCATAGGCAAGGACATTCAGGGACATTTCCATTGGAGCAAAGGAGAGAGGTTATGCCACCCCTGAAACTATCAGAATCTTGTTTTCCAAACTTTCTGAGCTGTCTCTTTATTGCCAAGGTTCTGTCTTCAGAGGCTGAATATCTGTTGTGCGTCTTTGCTCTTGAAAGGCAAATGTATCAACAACGGCATCAAAAGCTTCTGCTGCATTATGTACAATGGAAACTTGGAGCAGGATTTAAACGAGCATTTTCAGGCTCTGACAATATACAGCATTCATGGTTGGAAAGAAAAAGAGAGGTTTTGAAATTTGACCCTGAATCTGCTCAAGTTCTTCCACCTTCAGTATTATAATCCGAGAGTGGTTTTCTCCAAACATTCCAGAGTGCAAGAAACAGCGGATGATTCAAGATTAGGCCTGCATTTCTCTCCAACCATACCTTCTCTTGCTCTGAAGATGTCCATGGTTGTTTGGGACTAGCAGTGTTATTCTTTGCTCACCCTGAAAAATGTTATTTTTCTAGGTGCTACAATCGCATAAACCACTTGATCATTATGTGCCAACACTTAGAAAAAGCATCAAGGTCAAAATCTTCAAGTAGTCCCATACTTATTTTGATCTGGTTATGACCCCCATCATATTACCTTAGGCCAGCTTCACTGTATATTCTTTTGTGGTGATTTCTGGGGTACATTCTTGAGGGGTGCAGAAGAAGCTGGACACTGTCTTTATTTAAATTCTCCACCAAATATATGAGCAGAAAAATTTGGTGGACAGTATCTACAAATTCCTTCCAAGGAAAAGAAAATGTTCTCAAAGGCACAATTTCTCCTGGAGGGTGACTTGAAAAAAACCCATGGGAAGAATTCTCTCATAATATACCCCTCCCCAGTGGTGGGATTCAAATATGTGAACAACCGGTTCTTTGTGTGGATGCCGCTTCCAGAAGTCCATTCTGGGCCTGGGCAACAAAAAATTAGCTACCGATTCTGCTGAATCGGTGCAAACTGGCTGAATCCCACCACTGCCCCTCCCCCTTCGTATTGAATAGAAATGTGGGAAGCCAGAGAAGCTGTGGGCCATTGGAGCTCCTGAGAGTTGCAATCCACACAACTTAAAGTAGCTGTCTGAAATGGTATAGGGCAGACATGTCAAACTTGTGACGTCACGTGACGTTGTGCAACGTATCGGGACGGTTTTGCCATTGCCGGCAATGGGGTGGGCACGGCTTCTGGATGACGCGTCCGGCCCGCGGGCAGGCAGTTTGACACCCCTGGTATAGGGTTTCCTGTCTGAGCAGAGGGTTGGACTGGATGACCTCCAAGGTCCTTTCCTCCTCCTCCTCCTCCTCCTCCTCATTATTATTATTATGGATCATCTCACAGTCAGCCAGATGTTCAGACTGGATTTGGCATTTTGTCTACCTATCGAGTCCTTACCCAGGACCTGGGATAGGCAGATGTGGATGTTTGATGGTATTACAGATTATTATTATTATTATTATTATTATTATTATTATTATCATTATCATTATCATTATCATTATCATTATCATTATCATTATCATTATCATTATCATTATCATTATCATTATCGCCCTGAGTCCGCGAGGAGAAGGGCGGGATATAAATCCAAATATAATAATAATAATAAATATAATTATCATTATTATTATCATTGCTGTTGTTGAGAAACACTGCTCTAGAATTTCTCTTCTCTTTTAAGAAGTTTCCAAGCAAATACTCTTTCACCAGATTAAAAGAAAATGGGTAGAGAAGATGCAGGAGAAGTTCTTTCCCCAACACTAGTTGTGCTGTTCAGCAGCTAAATAAATAATGGCAATAGGAAACCATATGAACTATTCCAAATATTAAATGGGTCCAATGGCTTAGTTGAAGGGGGGGTTGGACTAGAAGACCTCCAAGGTCCTTTCCAACTCTTATTCTCGAAGGGTCCTGGTCAAACCCAACTTAAGAAAGGAAGCCAGCTACCTCATCAATCCCTTTTCCTTTCCTGTGTGGCTTAGTGGGAGTTTGCTCACATTACTGTTCCTCCTAGCTCTGGAATCAGAAAAGGGAAGGGAGCTACGTCTTATACTGGCTTCGCTTAGGAAGGTAGAAAGACTGGCTGGCGATGCTACAATTTGGGATGGCATTCTGCATTGTAATTTAATTCCACAGTTGACCACTAGAGGGACTCATGTGACATCTTCAATTATGAAGCTCAGGAACATGTGGAAGTCACATTTTTAAGGCTCCCGGGATTAGCTACAGCTTTTCGCTGACCCCATTCTCACAATGTGCATAACCCACTTGGCTGCTAGCCCAATCAAATCTCCTGATTGGCGATTCTAATAGTATACAACCATTTTAATGCGTAAAAAAGAAGAAGAAATAATCATTTTCCAGCTACAAAATCAGTGATAAATCTAACAGGTAGCTTCTCATTGAGTATTTCAATTGAAAAAAAAAAAGGAAAATACAGTGACTTTTTTTGACTTAGTCTCCACTCTATTTCATATCTGATCCGAAAATCATGTCATTGGGTAAGTCCTGTCCTGATCAGGTTTTGATCCTGATTTCCACACTGGTTGCCCAAGCAAAATACAAAATACAGGGTTTTTCACTGCATTCTCCTTTTACTCTGATCTCTTAGAAATATACATGGAAAAAATGTTCTTTTTTACCATCACACTTCTTAGAATGCTGTTCTAGAAAGAAAAGGTGATCTGGAGCGTAACATCATATCTATGTTTTAGGATAAGAAATAATCTATTATCTCCTTATGTTCTTTAAGATGAGCTTCCTTGTTCTCCTCAGATAATGTCATCATTATTCCCTTGTTTACTCAGAGTTCACATTTTCAGAATACCATCGGAGGAATCACCATCTGCTATACATTGCCTCACATGTATGCATCTCAGGGAAATATTTAACAAATTACAGCTATATCTGTATGCTTTTTTAAGCTGTATCTGATGATGATAAGAAACCCCAAATTCAGTGTATCGTGTGAAGACATCCAGGCAACAGAGCATGGTTAAGCAACCCCTGCCTTAGCATGATGGCTGAACAAATTTTCAAAGTCATATGCTATTAGTCTAGCTGGGCCAGATGAGGCAGCATTAGGGAATTCTTCCATTATTAACAGGCACTTAGCATTCATTGGAGAAATGCCAAAGATGGAAAACCTAGTTTTTTTTAAAAAATACATCTCCCATCATCCTTTTTAACAATGTTTATTGATGCGAGCAGTATACTATGAAGCAAAGCAGATGCCAAAGCTGTGGCCATCATCCATCTTCATTTTCCCAGAACGACTCCTAAATCAAAGCACAGAAGCATTCTGGGAGAAAATAAGGCGCCAGGCAATCATAGCCTTGGCTCAGAGCGACACTCTGCTGACTTTCTGAAAAAGAAACAAAGCTGCCCATCTACTGCCTAGTAAACTCCCCTAATAATGGTGCAGTCTTTGGGGGGGGCATTTTATTACTGTATTGGGCCAGGCTATGCATAGCAAGTTGACCTTTGGATGGTTTGCCTGTTGCCAAAGTCACTGTTGTCCTGTGAATGATAATCTGCATGGAAATTTTTCGTGTGACCCAATGAAGGGTCACACGAAAAGGACCATCAAACTTTTAAACTCTTTGACCCAAGTCACTCAATTAGTGCATCCTAAGGTACACACATTATGCAAACATCATCATTTAATCAGCAGTGGGACAGGAGAGCCTTACCTCTAAGCAGCCCTGAATTTATTTTGGATTAAACTTCTTCCCTATCTCTCACACAGATACCTTGACTCAACTAAATTAAAGTGGGATAATTTCCAACATCCACTATAGCCACTTTTCCAAGAAAGGGAGAGAGAGAAAAACAATGGCAGTGGCATCCCAGAACCCACCCCTCACAAATATTAATTAGCTGCAGCAACCTGGCCACGCCCACAGCTGCCTCCCCAGCCAATGCAGAAGGAGCTATGGAGAGAACTCATTGGGATACTCTTGACAGGTAGATTTTGGAAGGCTCTGTGTTTGCAACCGGGTGACTTTTAGTCTTCTTGATATGTGTTGGCAAGAACTACCAATAAGGAAAACTGGCCAAGTTAATGGCTGTCAAGGTTAAGTCTGCTGTCTGAACATTGGCCTGCCTGTATGTAAAGTTTTTTGGAAGCTCTGTCCAGATGCTATCTGAAGGGAAGTGAGCCACCAGTAAGAGGCGATTCTCAGTGATGGCACCTGAACTTTGGAATTATTTCCCCAGCGAAGAGGTTTGCCCTTGTTTTTGCACCATTA